AACCCATGTTGGTCAGGTTTAACCATGAAACACATAGTTACATATCTGTCTGAAACTGCAGTCATAGTTTTTGTTCTTTTGAATTTTAAGTCTGAGTTGGTGGTGCATGATGGGTATAAATATAGGACAATGAATAATTGTCACTGTGTATTTAAAGTCGATTTTTGTTCTTTTATTAATGGTATTTTCCCTTTACATACGTACAACATACATACATACATACAACAAATGGAAAAATTTGTTTTGCAATTTTTTGGACTCTTAGCCATCATCATGGTGCAAGTTGTCTGTATGTGTAATTGTTTAATTGTCACAAAGGTCAGGTTGTGACCTATCAGGTGTTTTGATGTCTAGAGTGAATGGTAATTTTTTAATATTAAAAATAATACTGGACATTTATTTTTTGATTTTTCTTTAAAATACATTTTGACTTAAAAATTGTAATTAATTTTTTGATTTTTGAGCTGATTTTTTTGGATTGTTTTGGTTAAGGCAAATGAATTAAATGTATGTTGTTCCATCTAAATATTTATTTTTACAAACGGGCCTGAAGATTGTCATTCATTACTTGAGCTTTATTGAGAGCATCATGCTGTAGTTTCTGAATATCTTAAGTAAGAAGGGATTTATCTTCGTTAGCCTTGTAAAATAACATGTATTACTTGTTACACGAACATCTTAAAATAATACAAAACTTTTAACTTCAAACCAGGAAGGTATGCATTGGTTCTGTAAGATTAAATACCACAAGTCAACATAAAGAAATGGTTGTATGAGGAGGAAACAATAAAGTGATGTTTCTGTGATTTGGAATACCACAAATTAGTAGAAACACGTGTATTTGGTCATAATTAACGATATATTATTTAGAGTGAAGTGTATAAACATTTGAAGTTGTAAGAAGATGGTAAAAGTATTGTAACAGGTTAGTTTTGATTAACGTTTTAAGTGCTTTGATTAAAAAATGGTAAAGTAACCGTTTTTCTGTGTTACTGTTTCCAGGCTGTTTTGTCCACTAAAAAGTACCTAACCATTGAATCTTTCCAGATGAGAGCATGAAAGATGAACTAGCTGGAACAACGGCAGTTGTTGTTTTACTGAAGGGGAACAAAATCTATTGTGTAGGTTTCTTACTAAACTCAGTTGTTGTTTTACTGAAGGGGAACAAAATCTACTGTGTAGGTTTCTTACTAAACTCAGTTGTTGTTTTACTGAAGGGGAACAAAATCTACTGTGTAGGTTTCTTACTTCTTACTAAACTGCCTTACAAGTTGACTGTTAAAAATTTTTGTCACATTTAAAGCTTATCAAGGACTGGAGAGGGTTGATAAGAATTTTATTAGTATACTTGGATTTTAAGTATAAGTAACTTATAAACCATGGGTTTTATATATTTTTAAATTAATGTTTATTTAGATAATCTAGTAAGATGTAGCTGATGTACATGTATAAAATCTAACATTTTTTCTGTATGTTTGGTGCTGGAGCATCAGGGTTAAGACTATAATGCCAAGACGTATTGCTGTGTTTTCAGGGCAACGTTGGAGATTCTAGAGCAGTGGCTAGCATTGGTGGACAAGTGCAGCAGTTGTCGTACGACCACAAACCTGGGAATGAAGCTGAAACTAAACGAATTATTGCAGCAGGTGGTTGGGTTGAATTCAATCGAGTGAATGGTAATTTTGTTTCATTTGCTGTTTAGTACCTTCAGACATTTAGTAAAATGTACTAACATAAGAGAGAGTTTCAACTTTGGCTTCCAGAGGCCAGTACTGTAGTGTGATATGTTAACATAAGCTCCACCTAATTCTACTTTCTCTTTGATACTGTAATTGGCTTTATGGAACTTTGTTTTATCAAATGAGCTACATTGAATTCTATCCTCAGCTGTGTACTGGTAGTTTCGGCTTGTCAAGCTCACTATATATTGACTTTTATACTTTCCTCTTGATTGTTGACTTAATCAAGTTCACTGTGCTGACCTTTGTCCTATTCTGTTGATTGTTGAATTTACTTGAACAAATTCACTATATTGACCTTTCCTGGTTGTTTTTCTTTGTCTAGTACATTAATTTATTCTACAGGTAACCTTGCCTTGTCCCGAGCTCTAGGAGATTTTGTTTTCAAGAAGAATGATAAGAAAGCTCCAGAAGAACAAATTGTCACTGGTAAGTCCTAGTGATCCGATAACATTTCTCAAGCAGCAGAAATAAAGTTAAGGACCTTAAAACATCTTTCTGCCATTAAGAAGTTAACGTAGTAAATCCATTGTTGCCATGTTAACTAGCATATTTGATGTGTAATAAACGTATGAAGATGATTTATTTCTATTGATCAAAGTATAGCAAGTGTTTTTTTTCAACATCTGTATTTTGATATCATCTTTTACATTGCACTCGTGATTTATGGTTTTATGTCATCCTGTATTGGAATAAAAAAGTGTGATCTCCTTTAAAACTCGTTTGATTTAATATTTTTAGGATTTGTGAAATAAGCCGTGTATTAAGGTCCAAATCTTCTAACATTTTTAAAGTAATTGATAGCCACAATGATTTTATTAACTTGCACCAGATCAGATCAGATAATTTACTGTGGTTTATTACAACAGCTCTTACCCATTAATAAGGCTAGCTTGAACACTTAGGATCCACATATATTTAGTGTAAGGCTTAGTAACTTGTTTAATATATAATAAGTTGTGTGTCGTATAGCATATCCAGATGTGGTGGTGAAGGAAATAACTCCAGACCATGAATTCATTATTCTCGCATGTGATGGAATTTGGGACGTGATGTCAAATGAAGAAGTAGTGGCATTTGTACGAGCAAGAATTGCAAAAAAGATGGAGCCTGAACATGTAAGATATATGTACACAACTATTTAACATAAACTGTTAATTATATTTACGTATCTTTCAACATGAGGTTGATCTTTGGTTCTAATGTTTCCAGCAATTTACCTTTTATTTCCTTGTTCTTTTGAAACTTCTCAGTATTTTAGCTCTTTCAGTTTTGAAACATTAAAAGCATTTTGTGAGGTCTTTACTTAAAACCTTTCAGATTTAGTCTTTTGTTTACTCCTTCATATTTCAAACATCTTGCTGCGTTTGAAATGAATCTGAGTCATAGTTTATGGATCTTGTTCTATTGGAATTTTCTAGAAGTAGCCTTCAGATCTGCTTGTAGTGAATTATTTCAGATCTAGATTTCAACCTTTCATATATTTTCTTTTTTATTTTGTGTCAGAGTTTACTAGTTGTGGTCTGTGAAATTTGTGTCAGAGTTTACTAGTTGTGGTCTGTGTAGCTTGTATCAGAGTTTAGTAGTTGTGGTCTGTGTAGCTTGTATCAGAGTTTAGTAGTTGTGGTCTGTGTATCTTGTTGTATCAGAGTTTAGTAGCTGTGGTCTGTGTATCTTGTTGTATCAGAGTTTAGTAGCTGTGGTCTGTGTATCTTGTTGTATCAGAGTTTAGTAGCTGTGGTCTGTGTATCTT